TGTGTGTGTGTGAAATGGGTGTGTCCAGGTGATGCGTCCTCTGGTGGGGGCCGGACTTCGCTCCTGCTCCAGGTGTGTCTTTGTGATAGAGAGCCACAAGACGCAGAGAGAGGCTGAAGACATAAACACACACAGATCTGGGTCAACTGATTGAGAAACAGCGTGAGAAAAAAAAAAAAGAGTCAGCGACAGATGAAAAGCGATGGAGGACATGAGAATACTATCAGTGCCTTTATCCTGAAGATTTCCAGGAAGCTTGGGGATCGCTACCTGTCTGGACCTGCCCAGGGAGCAGTGAGTTGTGTGACCATGTTGTACTTTTTTTCCCCCTTCTGTGTGTGTGTGTGTGTGTGTGTGTGTGTGTGTGTTTGGGCTGACTTCATGGGAAAGATAGAATCGCTGGCAGCTTCAGAGCGAGCACAGATAGAACTGGGAGGTAGAATAACAGGTTTGATGCACAGTGTTCAGAGCTGTAGGATCCTGTTTGAATGCACGGAGCGCCTGTTTGGAACGCTGACCTTCGATCCTGTCAAGTCAAGGTAATCTGAAGGAGGGTAATGGAGGCTAACGTGGGCTTATTACACATAATTACACTGTAGGCTGAACAGGGGGCAGCAGACCTCAGGCCTCTGCTCTCCTGGGAAACGCTGCTCGGCTGCGGCTTTGCATGGAAGAGTTCACATGCAGAGAAAGAAATGAATGAAAGCATGAGTCAGGTCACTTGGTTTCCTTTCTGAGAGACTGCTTAGCAGTCGGGAAGGTGTGTTTTCGGTGTATTTGTTAGCCGAGTGCGTCTCCATGGCGTTGGCCGTGTGTTTTTTCGCAGATCAAACTGTTGACTCACGATGAGTGTGAGCCGCTCAGAGCGGGCTGGAGATTTCCGCTGACACCCGGGAAGGCTTCACGCAGCGCTTCGCTCATGCATTTTTTATTGTGGAAAAAAGTCCCAGTTGCGAAAGCATCGGGGTGAAGTGAGATCGATCGGTGTGCTGGTTTAATGCTGTGGTCTGGATGTAAATAAAAAGAGAGGTCAAGATCCGAACCAGCTGTTGTCCTCAGACTGGCTGCAGCAGATGAATCCAAACTATTCATGTTTTGTGATTTGTCTGCATCA